ATTGGAGTGGATTTATGAAGTGATTATAGATAGAGTTTGTGTGTGCCTGTGGATTCATGTGTATGCGTCAATGGATATGATGTGAATGTTCATAAATATGTGTACTGCTTGTGTTCGGTGTATATAGCAGTTTGCAGTAACGTGTGTCTGGCCACTGACTGAATTACGGAGTGAGTTTGTATAGAAATGAAATTCAAATACAAATATACGCGCTTATACTTATATTGCTTACATTTGTTTTCGTGCTTATATACTTTTTCGTTACGTGTATCTGCTACTCTAGCGTTATAACTGGTATTACTGTAATAATCTACATTTTCCCTTGCATCTATTGATCGTGTTCATGTTTTATTTAAGCATATGTCTATCTGACAGCATATGCTTTTGCTTACAGATCTGAATCATTACTCGCGTTGTATATGCTTTTGTGGGATTTACATGCTTTTGTGCATAAACATACGTGCGTCTGTCACTGTGTGTAAATTCTCACATTGTATAAATGTGTCTGCCTATTGGGTAGCGTATATAAACGTAGCGTATATATGCGTACGTACAATGTATGTGTATTGTAGATGAGTATTAGAGCGTATACATAAATTTGTGAATTGACACTTGTGCATTTGTGCATATGAAGGTATCAAATCCTTGCTTAAGTTAAACCGTAGGATCGCAATATTCCTACGGTTTTTCAAAAGTAAGCACAATGTTTTATTAAATTGAAAAATCAGTAACCGCAACTCCAATTTATCATATTTATCTGCCGTCACTATCATCAGTTATTTTCATTTATAAATTCTACCAAAACAATATACATGGAAGAAATTCAAATAAATGGGACCAAACTGCTAAGAAATACCAGTTTAGAAATATAAAAAATATTAAAAACCAGTAAGAATACTAAGAACCACTTTTAATGATTTCAAAAATCTCGTAATTGTGATCTTTTCCTATTTATAATTCCATTATTACCTTTATGATATAGGCACTACAAAAAATTATAGATATAGACCATAGGAAACACCAAATTTCAAAAGTTTCAGTAAGTAGAAGAGGTGAAAAAATGATCCAAATTACATAAAATTTGTAAAAGCTGAATAATAAGATTAAGTTATACTTGGAAATACAAATAAAAATTAATATGAATAATGATGCAAACATCAGGAGTAACCCATAATTCAACGCAATATAAGTACAATATCAGTGAGTTAATATCATAAAATCTCAGGAAGTAGAATTTCTGCAACCTATTCACAAATAAATCTTTGCATACTTAAATAATGAAAAGATTTAATATATCTGAAAAAAATTGGCACCACTAACCTTCTAAATTATGGGAATTACTTTTTGATAAATAAAACCTGTAGAAATTTGCAACAATGGTTAAACTTCATTTGAGCCAAAAACATCAATCTAAAACGAATAAAATATTTCTTTACTGATGATAATACACAAATTATTAAGAGAATAATTTAAATCTAACAAATTAAAGCAATAGTATATAGTAAGCGAGAGTTTTAAATAATGGATGTAAATTTCGCACAAAACTTTTGCAGAAAAAAAACCAAAAAATACATGGTTTAAGAAGAATAAATTTTTTAGAAAACAATAGCAGATGTGGCCATTTCACCAACACCACAAACGTTTTTTCCACGGTATAATCGATAGTAACCATTTTCACCCCATTTCTGACCCCAACTATTTTTAATAATCCAGTAAGGTTTATTATTTTCCTCACCATAGCCAACAATTAATACACCATGATTCAAATGTAGAGGCGAGCAGAACACTTTCCAAGGATGTGAAATGCCATGACGATAAAATTGTAATGGGTTTGCATTCACGCCTGAAAATCGACTGACAAAGTTTTTACTTACGTCAAGAAAGTCATAAAAGCAGCCTTTATCTTCTGCTATGTTCAAATTGTTTAGGCGTTCAGCCTGGCAGAAGATAAAGGCTGCTTTGTATTTTTTCTTCGCATTTTGTCAGACATGTAATAGATTATATTATGATAAAATACGATCTGAATTTGGGTTATATAGTTTTAATTTCATTATTTTACCTCAGATCATGACTTCTAAGTTGATAATTTACAGAACTTGAAAAGTGTGAAATTTATTTCACAAAACATAAATGTGAGAATGTGCTACATATTTTGCTATTTTGCTGAAAGGAATTAAATTCGATGTGACCAGAAGTTATCCAAAAATTCATCTATTAATAGCAGAAAAAAATTTTTACAGGGGATATATTGTCGAATGTTTGATAATTCCACAAAGTGAAAGTTTGCAATTTATTACTAACGAAGCATAGCTAAAGAAGGCTACAATGATTTAATAATTTCAATTCAACAAAATATTTTTAGTTCATTAATAAATAACAGCAAAATGTATTTATGTGAGTGAAATTTGCTGACAGAATCACAGGAAGCAACCTAAACTAAAAGAAGACATCACGGCGATATTGAGGTAACTGCAGATTGTACGCTTGAGTAAATTTTAGAATATTATATTTAAAACGAGCAATTGTATAAAAGTGATATGTATGTGTAATTTGAATACTTTTATTTATTTACTGCTGATAAAACATACATAAAGCTGGCTTTAATTAATTAACAAAATCTATCAAAGTTCAACTTCTTCAACTTTCACCATATTCAAGCATTATAAATATTTTTGTGCATGCTGCAAATTTAATAAAAATGGAGAATTAATGAAATTTAAATACTTAATCCAAAATGAACTCCCTCTTTCTTTTTTGACTTTTTTCTAGAAAGTTAAATCGAATTTTCTTCGCTTCTCTCCTATTTTGTTTCCAATTTCAGTACCATTTTCCTCACAATTATTTGAAGCTAACAATCTCAGAAACTTTCTCTACTTTTCTCACTTAAATTTTGTTTCTGCATGTGTATAAGTGAAGCTTTATTTTACTATAATTTGTCTTAAAGAATTTTTAGTTTAATTTTTTTTACGCATTTTATTATAAAGATGTAGTTATTATATTTTAATATTACACGTTTAATGATATTGCCATTACATTCATTCATTCATTACTTCTATCAGAATGCTATAAATTCTGGTCACTGCGAAAATAATGAATGGATTACTTCTAAGCAACTAAAACTGTTCGCAAAAAAACTTTCTAGATAAAATAGATCATCTCATTTTTTTTTAAATTAGACATTAAAGTTTGAGAAGAAGCTATTTCATAGTTTCGAGAGTATATGTCTAAGGAGTCAAAAAACTTCCATTTGAATGCTTTCTCGTTCGAAAAAAATAATTAAAGTAATGGTAATTAGTTTTTGTTTATTACTGTAAAAGTTACTGTAATCTGAATTAGCTAACCTAATCTGGATTAGCTAATCAAATTAAGCTATTTCAAGATTATAAATACTGCAAGGATTTAATTTCTTAGCTGTATAAGTACTAGAAATTGTCGGTACCTGTATACATGATCGAGAACAAGATTCATATATATGAGCTAGTAGGACAGACTGAATGTTGTTTACTAAACAAAATATTTGCTTCATAAAAATTTTCAATATATCGAATTTCGATTAAAAATTTGATAACAAAAAAATGCAAAACATATTTGATTCATTTATATTTATTACTGACAATTCATTGTTTTATTTATAGTTAAAAGATAATAAATAATCCACCACAGATGTGACGAGACATTACACATATATAATTCCGTTAATTAATAATGAAACAAATTATTCAAAACTATTTTGCAGTCATTTCCAAAGCATTTCTATTGCTTATATATTTCAGAGAAATGCTTCAGCTTGAATTACAATTTAGCTTTTAATTCTTCGTTTTCAATTTATGTCAAAGTACTTTCGATATTTTAACAACTTTAAACATAATATTAATCACAAGCAATAACACCCTAAAATTCGACTGATCATTGAAATTTGATGAATTTCTCTTTTGATAAATTTAGCAAGCAAAAATAATATAATTCGAGAACACATATCAGAATTCAGGCTTGAAAAACTCACTATCTCAATTCACTTGTAGATTTTTTAGTTCACTTTTGATTTAAATGATATAAAAATAACATATGTATAAAAAAAGGTACAATAAATAATATATGTTAGTTTTACAACTATTTTGTATGACTTAGCATTTACCAACTATGCAACGAATTACGGCTTCCATTTTTTAAATCGCTTATTTCTGAAACCATCTATTCAACAATATTAGATTGATAATTATTCAACAAAAGATCATTAATAAAGCGACATCTGATATTTGCCTTATATTTACAAATGACTGTGTTAATACACGATAGCTAATGATTGCCAAATTGCACAGAAATATGAGGCATTATTTGAATGATTCTGATCTGATTGAATTTTGCATTCAGTCACATTTGCGTAAGCTAAGTGATCTAAACCAATCATTTTGCTTATTTAACTTTGATTGAGCGAAGAACTGATCTAATCTTGTTGAAAAATTATTTAAGCCTTTTTATCAAGAAATAATCATAACAAAGTTGAATATAGTAAAACAGTAAGAATTGATTTACTTTTTGTGGTCTTTTCATAATCAAAAAATGCTTCAACTCAGTATTACTGATATATGAACTAATGTCTAAACTCAATATTATTGGATATGAAATCACTGCTTTTTCTAATAGAAATTAATAAGACTTTTCCATTCTGAAACCAATTAATTAAGACTATATTTAGAAATATTTAACTTGTTAAAAATAAAAAATTACACGTAAGTAAGAAAAATCTTTTAAATGTTAAATTATTACAACTATTAACTTCCGCCTCGATTATATTTACTTATACAAATGATAGTAAATACTATCAATGAGTAATTTTGCATTTCTTAGTTTCTTCTAATCAATCATTTCTCAGATTTTCAATAAAGAACTTGCAAAATAAAAAATATAAATAAATGTTTGTTGTTAAATAAATCATCTATTTTTCTGGCAAAATTATAGCATTATTATGAGAAATGGCTTACTTACTAGCATAGTTCTTTCCTGCTGCACCTCTCAAACGATATGAAAATTGTATGCTCAAAATTACCCAAACATTAATCTTTTGTTTGTTTTAATCCAATTATATTATAATTAATATTAAAATAACTTAGGCACATATTTTTGCCTGCATTACTGTACTTGATGAATTTTTTTGTGATTGTTTTTGTTTTCAGAGTAACTGAATCTGACTTACCATAATTGCTTTCATATGCATCTAAACATGAATAAATCAGATAATTCAGTAATTAATATAAGTAAATAACTGCTTTAAGCCTAAATTAATCATGCAGTGGTTGTAAAAAATTATTTTAATTCACTATCAGGCCTCATTTTATAACAATAGATGATTTTTGTTAGAGTTTGAGGAATTATCTTTACTGAAATGCTCAACAAGAGCCTATTTTTTCTACTGGAGCTTAATTAAAGCAATAACGTTTCAATTTTTACTTTCCTCTCGATAAAGGTATAGATTAATAAGTTTGAGGATAATCAACAAATTATTTCAGATTGAAACAAAAATATGAAAGAGTTAGTGAAGGAAATTAAAGAAGCAACAGATTTTAAATGGTTTCCGAAATCGAAACCTCAACTGGTAGGATATCAGTATCCAGTAACTGATGCTAAGTCATATACTTCGCGACAGCTAAGCAATCAGAGAAACCGAAAAAGTAATAGTTTGTAACTTTCTATTTTCTTGATTTTTTTTCGATAAAAAATTTTATCCGTAACTTAAAAAAGTTTCACTCATGTTATAGTCTTTATAAAATAACTTAAACATACTACTAATTATTACTTAAAAAAAATAACGAATGGAAAAAAATTACAAAGACGAAGTACAGTTTTGTAATTTTTAGTTTGGTCCTAAACTAAATCCACGGTAAAGCATTTTATTTCAACTCAGTCTTTTGTTCTTTTTTTAGCACATTCTATTGCTCGGCAATTGAAGCAAATTACTAACAAAATTTATCGCTGTATTCTGATTTATCTGGAAAGCCTGATCTGTTTCTTAGTGCAACCTGTACCATTACCTAGTCAATCTATACTACCTATAGTACCATTATCAACATCAATGTTATTACAACCAACATCACCATCATTACGAATACCATGTAAACAACAACAACACCGTTTTCCTCAATTTTCATTACAATTACGAACCAAACGAAATTGTAAAATAACTTATACCAGAAAATGGTTTAACAAAGGTCAACTACGATCAAAGGCTACATCAATTAAAGAAAGCAACTCAAATGAACGAATCATTTATGTACCTATTATGAATAATTGCAGCACACGTACAGTACGTCCTAAGAACTATTCTTTGGAACGATTTGCTGTCGAATGCTTTACGAGAAAGTGAATTTTATTTGTGTATGTTATTCTAGTAAATTTACATTCGCCATTTATTCAAACTTTCTTATTAATTTAGTTAACTTTGAATATTGAAAAACGACGTGTATCTGAAACTGAAAGTAAATTTTTCAACTTAAAAAGATCGAAAATTTAAATGAAAATAAAAATTAGAAGCAAATAATTTTTGGAATTTTACAAGGCCTTTGAACGTATTGAATTATTAGTTAAATTTCTTTTAAATAAACCCAAGTGACAAAAGCCGATTTCACTTCAGTGATTACTTGACATAAAGATCTTGAACTGATCAAAAAATGATGAAAAAATGCGCTGTACTTCAAGGGGTTAAATAATTCAACAGATTACTGATAAAACGTCAATAGCAATTCATTTTTCCTGCAGTGGCATGTAAATTTTTGTCAAATATATGAACAGATTTGCATGATGACGTGAATGTACCTTTTTCTCACGTAAATTTTTCAAGTACAACAAATTTTTTCATCATTTGTCAATTGTGCCATTACCTTCCTAGTTTTATTTTCTAAAAATGTCAAGCATTAAGAAGCGTGAAATTTAGACAGTTTTCTTACAACCTACAATTATGAATTCCCTTGTTAATTTTTACAGTAAAAAAAAATCAAATTAGCAGCATGAATAAAGTGTACGAAAATTTCAACGTGTCTTAAAATTAATTTGGAAACAGAGAAGTAATTGAGTTAATTTTTTTATGAACATACGCAAAATTCTTCATTCTGTAATGAAAACATGTCTTACTGTATTTATCCATTGTCAAATATTGCACTGTACGTGAATAAATATTCTCATACTTAATGTATTTTATTTTTGCAGTTTGGAAGTGACTCAAGTAAGCAAATCTCATCCGTCTAAGTAAGCAAGCAAATCCAAGTAGCGTGCAAGCTTTTCAGTTCTGTCATAAACGATTTCATAAAACACTCAAGTCTTTGAGATTTTCTCTAGTTTTATTGATTACCATGAAATTACTAATTATTGAATTTAATAACAAAAACAGATATTACAAGGTAATGTTTGAAACAGTGAAATGTCGCAAAAGATGACTTGCAACAAAGCAAAACTTTTTTTAATTCACGCAATCTTTAACTTCGAAAAATTATTCGATCCATATAAATGTGATATTTAAGTACAAAAAATTTTGTTAGGTATTCTTGCTATGTACAAGCTCTTTTTAGTTTTTATAAATTTAGTTTTGTTTCAGTTTTTTTTTTTGCGATAAGTTTAGTAATGGCGAGATTTTTTCAGCACCACAAAGTGCTCGGCTTTGGTGGTTAACCATTTTCTTATTGGTAATACTCCTATCAGTAGTACTGAAATGAATAACGAAGTATTAATTTTAATACGGGCGCCCTTACTTAATAATTTAGGTGAATTAAATTTTATACATAAAACCTCCGTTGAAATCATTTAAAATGCACAATATTATTTGTTCATTACAGGCTTATTCAAACATGGGCGTTTTAAGCAAATCCTAACAGTGTTGCATTTAAGGCTGTCGACAATGTCGAATATGTTTAAGAATCTTTCATTTTAAATGGAACTCGAAGAAGATTAAAGTCTAAACTTAATTTTAAGGTTACGTGCTCAGAAAATCAAACATAGTGTCTTAACATAATATTCCGTCATAATACCAAGATACTACTTCATGCTATAAGTGCATTCTGAGAAAATAAGTCTAAAATAAGTCGATGCCCATTACAAATATTTTACTGACTGAAATTACTTTTATCAAGATGCCTTTAAAACTAAAGATTCAGGTGTTTAGAATCAATCTAAGTAAAATCCGATTAAAATAAATTACTACTTTAGTAAAATAAAATAGTAAATGAGCAGTAAGTATTAAGTAACTAATATAAACAGTCAGTATCAAACGAGCAATCTCAGCGAAATTGACAAAATCAAGCCAAATTGAAAAGGTTGAATCTTGAAACTGTTTATTTTAGAGAGATAATATCAGTAAAAATCTTTAATTTTTATAAATTATAATTGCTTAAATTAAAAAAAACTGTCAAAAAATATTACCAATTGAGATAGGGCCATGCTCAACAAGCCAAGTAGCAATTTTCTGCTCATCGTTTGGTAACTGCAACGAATCATTGATATAAACAGCAATATCTTTGCGCACCAAATGGCATTTTTCTCCTCTTCCATCGTAAGGATAATCCTTCTCTGATTCCAAGCCACCCATTCGTATTATTTCTCTACAAAAATTTTGATTTTTACATGAAAATTCGAACTATTAAAAATTATAGTAAAACTATCAAAATTAGGATGGTATAAAATTGAGTTACTCCAACAACTAGCAGAAAGAGAAATTTTTTGTGAAAAAACTGTGACTAAAATTACAAAAGCCAATTAATTTAACTAATTGTGCATATTTTAAGAATGAATTAACTAATCAGTTGATGATGTAAACATGGATATGTAAACTTATAGTAATTCATGAAAATGATGTAAAAATGGACAGTGAGCTCAGGTTGCCCAGTCCATTCATTTATTCATTCAAAATAATTTGCAAGTTTATTTAAAATGTTGGCAGCAAATTTTTTAAACATACTTGTAAGCATTAAGTGGTAAACCTCCACTACATCCTTGGTCAATCACATCACAATCTACCAACTCTTGCTCTGATAATGATATTAGTTGACCTTTTTTAATCTTCCAAGCACCTTCAATATTTCCTGTCACTGAAAAAGCCCAACAGCTACCGCAAGCACCTGAAAAATCAATTTAAAGTTAATAGATTTTATCTATTCAAAAAGCAATTTTAATCTATGTTTTGTATTTTGATTACAGTTCTTAAGATGGAACAGTTTTACACTAAAGTCATGCTGTATTTAGCGTAAAAATAACTTTATCCAGAATCTCTATCAATTACATGTAATCTTCATTATGATCAATTATCACAAGTCTGACTTTAAATATTCATCCCATCTTCATAACAAACATATCAATCTTTTTTAAAGAAGCTCACTAAAGTACCTTGATTTTTTACATCTGACACTGCACCTTTTTCACGCCAATCAAACGATTCCGGTATTTTACCATTATCAATACTGTATTTGCTAAATTTTTCCAAATGATCGTCATTTTCATTTAATGGCCACTTATAAGGTAACATAATCTATAAAACAAATGCAGTTATAGATGAATTAAAATAGAACTGAAGTAAAATGTAAGTAAAAATAAATCCAATAAAGATCATTTAATTAATGTCCCAGCAAGTTACTTTCATCATCAATATTCTCACTTACCATAGTTACTATAAATATTATTACCACTTTATTATTGGCAATATTACATTATTATTGCTTTATTATTAGCAGTATTGTGCAAGGGTAAATCTGATTAGTACTGAATAACAGAAAAGTATAAATGCAACATAAATTCAATGACAGAACTAAGTTTCTATTTCAAGCCTTGAAGTAAATTTTTCAAAAAAATATTTTCTACTCAGAAAGTAAAAAAGCTACCTTCCTAAATTCTTGTTGTGTCATATCACTGTAAGGTGTTTCACCGTAAACTGCTGTTCCCTGCTCCGTTTTTTGCCATAATTTAGCCAAACGTAAATTTCGCTTATAAATACGGAATCGTTTTACTAATTCTGTCTGACTTTGATAATTACGATTATGCCTGAAAAATCTTTTACTAAACCTTTGAATGATGTGGATTCAATTTTTAAAATATTCGATGTTTTTTACCATCCTTTTAAAGCATTCACACATATTGAGATACATTCATGATCAAGATAAAATTAGTTAGAACATCACTTGAATTGGCGTTCAAATCATTCAATACAATAGTTTTTTATGTGAGGAAACATTAATTTACTGTAACTGCACAATATAGTGTATACTTTTCGATAAATTTCCCAAACAAATTCCAAGTAGTAAAATCTCTCTTCATGAGAATTTTTGATGGTTCGAAATGGCGAACTCTAATGTCATTCTTATTATTGCGAAGTAGATGACCTTCAGTTATGATTTCTGGTCTGAAAAATATGCTTCATATTCTACAGTCAGAGTTAAATTTTATTATGAATCAAAATAATGCATCTTCTGACAGTTCACTTGAAATATATAACAAAACACTGTAATGAAGACTTTAAAATAGCTTAATTGGCAAGTATACAAATTCTTGCGCATTTGATAATGATTTCAAATTCGATTTACTTTTTGCTTCTGCTTGCTCTTGAGAACTTGCTTCCTTACATGTTTTCTTACTCTTGAATTTATATGATTCCTTAGTTCTATGAATTATGTTTAAATTTTGAAAATTTCATTCAGCTAACAATGCAAATATGCCAAAATCAATGAGCCTCACTCGATTTGTCGTTCAGAATTATTCAGATGGCCTTTGTTACACGCAATGTTTGTGATTTCTTCAAAATTTTCCCATAATCGTTGATAAATTTCAAAATTACAAATCTAGAAAGATGGCTGTGCTAATAAATTTTATAGTTTCAAAAGCAAACAAAACATAACAAAATATTGACAGATATTTTCGAAAATCCAAATAATTTATCAAGTTTTTATAATTTGTATGTTCTGAAATATAAAACGCAGTGTTATTGCGCAGTTTGCATACATTTGATTTGAATTTTAAAACTTGTAAAAAAAATGAACAAAACACACTTGCAAATCTTGTTTCACGGCTTTTTTACACAGCGCATTTTGAATCTTTTCGTAAGGAACTTCCTGAAATTTGATTTTTATTTTCCGGTTATAACCAAATAATTGATAAACAACTATGATTTATATCATTTTAAACAAGATTAACATATATATATCATTTTTATGACTTCTGAAGTTATGAGTTCTGAAAATGATTGAAACGTAAAAGAGATAAAGGTAAACTTTTATAACTGCAATTACAGATGGAAATAACTTTTTGGCAGTAAGATTTATGAGAAACATTTGAATAGAAAACAATTTTACTTTTATAACTAATTAAATCTACTTCGGAATAGAAAGTCAGAAACATTTGACAGTAGCATAATTTAAAGTTCAATTTAACATGTAACTCATAAATTCTTTAAAAAAATTAATATCTCGACTTACAGTCTTCTGACAATTCGATCGTGCCATCAGTACGTCAAGCGTATACTTCACTCCGGCAACAACCTGTGAGGTCACATTTAAAACTTTCATTGGTATCCAATGATATGACTCATTTGATAATCGATTCAATTCTATGACAGCGCGCCAAGACATATCCTTGAAAGTTTTCCAGAATAATATGGAGGACTTTAACTTTAGATAAGTAAGATAATTTTTTTCAGATCTTTAAAATTTTGTTACTCTCTTCAATTTACCATTTCATCCATTAACAACCAAAAGTTGTGCAAGCAATAGTCTATCATACTTAAACTTCTGACCTCTTTGACCTTATTAATTGTTTATGAATGTTAGCAAAGTAAAGTATTTAGAAAAGAACTTTTATGTACAAAAAAAGTAACAATTATCAAATTTTGTTGTCATACATTTTGATTAGATCAAACTTGGAATACTCACTTGAGCATTTGTTTGAAGCAAAACGGAGTACAACTGCTAATTTCGTTCATTATTTGACTTATATTCATATATAAATGAATTATTTTATACTTTTAAAATTTCAGTTAATTTCAGTTGAAAATTGATTTAATGATAGGATAACATTCCGATGGATGTTACCTGAACATATTTGCGATCATGATCACGAAAATCAATTCTGTCACCAAGTGGAACCATTTTCTGATCATTTTTCATCGCATCTGAAGGCACCTCGATACTTGCTCCTTCAACATTGTAACTACTCGTTGCTGGGACAAATGCTTGAATACTTGTTAGAAAAAATAGAATAACTGTTCCATACAGCAGCATATCTGAGGATACTCAGAATCTAAAAAAATTAACAGAACTCCATTGAAGAAAGTTTATCAAACGAAGAGTGACAATAATCAAGTACTGAAAATCAGTTACAAAAATCTGAATACAAATAGTGTATGAATATTAGCATAAATATGTGCTCGAGGATCAAAAATAACGATTTGTGATAGTTACATAAAAATGAGAAAAATTATAACAATTAAAAAAACGAATACTACTTCCCATTGAGTTAAACTTTCTCTTTTGTAGTAAAATAGTGACCTGAATGTCTCAAGTTACTTGCTAGAATGACTTACTGACTTTACATAATTTTCAAAGAATCTTAGTTTTCAGAACAAAGTATTAATAAGCACCGATGTTTATTATTAATTGGCTCTAGAAACTAAGATTCTCATAGATAAATGAAAAAAGTAAGTGGAAGAAAGCAATCAATAAGTTAGCTAATCTGCTGGGCTGGCAGTGCAGTAAGATATCTATTTATTTTATCACAAGAGTTTATTGTTTAAATTTGTGCTTAGAAAAAATGAATAAAATTTAATTATTTACTAAAGTAAAAAAAACTATCACTTATCGCATCGTTAACTTTTGATTCTTTTATTAATAAAAGTAATTCTTTTATTAATTAATAATACAAGTTTTCATTTCATAGTAATCACTAATTTTTGTGTGTTCAGAAAAATAGAAATTAGCTCAAGTTAATTTTTTTTTAATTTGTCTTCTAGTGAGTTTTCATGGGATTATATTTGTGTAGCATATCTATCATTCAATTTTTTATCATATTCTAATCAATTACGAAAATGTAAAAATCTGAGTGAAAATACAGTCGAATTAGACTAAAATAATTATAAAAATGATAATTTTATCATTACAACAATAAATTTTGCATTTACTGATCGAATTTAATGAAATAATTACAATTGAAGCGATTATTATTATAATAAATAATAATAGTTTGTTAATTAAATTGTATAGATTGAATGATATTAATAAACAAAAATCATTATTGAAACAAAAATATAACAAAAATTAAAATTTAAAAAATCTTCAAACAAAAAATGATTGATAGAAATAACATTAAGTATTAGTAATAGAAATTACAAATCAAAACTGATTAATTACCAATAAAAGCAAAGTATTTACATTTACTTCTGGAAGATTCATTTACATTTACTTCTGGAAGATTCATTTACATTACTTCTGGAAGATTCTCCACTCATCGAAAATAAACTTTTCATGATTAAAAATAGTCCAAGAAATGTAATTAAGCCAACAGAAATTAGGTAGTGAGAGAGCAGAAAGCAGTAATTCGATGAAATGTATTGAAGGATAAATGGATTAATCTAGCGGATACTAACACTGACACTGACACTGACACTAAGACAGAACTGCTAATATTATAAAGCCTTTAGCTTTAGAGAAATTTTTAACGTATAAAAAGCTTTACACGCTAAAATGGAAAAAATGAGATGAAATTTATGCGAAAAATTAAATATTTGCTATGAATTCTACTCAAATGTCAATATTTTGAGAGATAAAGTAAGCGTAAGTATAGAATGAGTAGTAATGATAACGTGAGCAGCTCTTCAGCTGTAGTAATTAATCATTATGTCGATAACTTTCAGCAAAATGAGAGACTGAAAAGAGGGAGAGGTATGGAAGGGGAAATTGAGAGAATGAGAAAAATCGTTCATAACCTGTTTAAAGGTTCAAAGGTCATTAAGGTATTAGTTACAAAGAATACATAAGTGGTGTATTGATTATGGTCATGATATGATGGCATCGGGAGGATAGAAATTAAAGCATTAAAACCTTATTTCTTGAAACAGTGAGGAATTTATAATTGGTCATAGGTCAAACCTTCCTTCTCCCAAGCGTAATTTTTCATGACTTCGCATCCAACTTTTGCTTGATCTCATCTATGATCTTCAATTAAACCATAGGGAGTTTCTATTTTTGACTATTAAAATAAAGCAATATACTTTTTTTTTTCTTTTTTTTCTTCTGAAAACTCTATTCTTTGCTAACAGAAATTGCTGTTGTCTATAAGCTCTATATAATAACATTGAAGAACGCTAAACTTTCTACTTACATTATTCGCGACTATTAGTCTTGCGAAGGTCGCTGTAGTCGTAAACGACACAAACTTTTGATGACGATGTTTTACTTTCGTTGCCTCACTTTCATATTTTCGCGTGAATGCTATGTCGGTTGTAACATTCAATTGATAATCAGTCAACAGACAGTGTAATTTTTCTATTTTTGGAAAATAATGATGTCACTTTATCATGATCGGCTGTGTAAGAATTGATTACCTGTATCAGATTCATGATTTGAATGCTAGCTAGTAAGTTTAAGTTTTTGAGCTGATTTAGTTATCATTATATAAATTCATCGCTGCTGATTAGTTTTGTTGTCCAGTGCTCCATTTCTAATATCAGTTGTGTACGATTAGCAAGAATAGTTTTGATAAATTGGAATTTTATAAAATGACAACTTAAGATTGAATTGGATACTGAATTAATTAAGTACCGATTAATAGAATAGAGTAACTTATTCGTATTTAAAAAGTTATTTATTTCTTATATCAATTCAGACCTTTTTTAGTGCAATAAAAATGTAACTATTGATATTTTTTGTATCATCGAAGCACGAGAGAAGTGAACTGAAGACGTTTGAACATTCCAAAGCTTTGAAAAGTAAAAAAACAACTGATTGTTAGTGTCAAAAGACAGCTGTCATATTTCAGGAGATGAAAACAGGATAGCCAAAATTGCAATTTCACTGATTAACTTACTTACTTAAAAAACAAAAAGGTTGGTAGGGATTAGGTCAGAACCGACTAAAAATTAATTCCGAAAAGTATGAGAAAAATATCAGTTTAAAAAATTTTATAACAGAACTTGTTATAGGCAGTAAATGACGTAGTTTGTATCACTTAATTTTTACAGTAAAATTGAATAAAGCTGTTTTTTAGAATGGATTGATTATCTATTTTGCCATATTACAACTGTTAAGTATGTTGCAATTGTGACAATAATGAGATTTATTTTTATAAAACTTATTCACAATAAATTCTAATATTTTTGCAAAAACTAATTTCACACAATCCAAGGAAAGTACCGACCAATATTTTTGTACAGTACTTCGTTTGAAGAATAAGTTCGTACTGTTTATACATTTACCTAAAGCTTATCAGTCTTTTGTTTTCATCACATTACAGTTTGAGCAAATTGTTTTCATGCAGTATAAATTGTACTGTATGAAATATATTAATTGTTACATGAACCATAATTATATGCAGTAAAAAGTCTATTAAATTAGCTTACTTTCATAGTTGGGATTTTTGCATTTTTATTTGAAGTTAAGAGAAAAACAGATGCTGTAGAAACAATATGTATACTTTATAAAAATGTAAAAGAATTTGGCTAATAATTTCAAAATAGTTAAAAGTTATTTGGGAGAGTAAATGAAAAAGATGAAGAATTACAAATAGTTATAAATCGAATTTTGAGGCAAAAAATAAGAATAAAAAATGGAAAATATAAATCACACAAGTCAGTCAAACGCGTTCGATTGATTGTGCGAATAAATAATCTCTTAAATAAAGCAGAATTCCATAATAAATGGTAAGAAGAAAAGCACTAAAACTGATAAAATATTTTGAAAATTCAAAATTTGCATCAAGAATTATGTCAGATATATGCGTCTTAACACAAGGATGAGCTTTTTGAGGGTTTAACATAGTGAAGACAAATGTTGTTAAAACCAATCTTTTAATATTAGTAGTTTTTTAATTTGTTTGAAGAGTAATATGAAAGATTTATTAAGAAACAAGACATTAACAATTATTAACATTTGCAATAATTCTATACTCGTTCCATTATCAGGATTATTCGATCTTGCAGTGAAAAACATTTTTATTCAAATAAAGGGGGCAATTTTATAGCACTGAATATAATAATGTGCTCGCGCAATTAACAGAATGTATTCATGCAAACTGATGGAATAATTAGTTATGATGACAGCAATCAGTAATCCAAAGCAGAGCTCATCGTTAAGAAGCCGAACTTTGACAATTATTTATATCAAATATCAAGAATAAACAGGAATTTCTGCTTTTTTCGAGAGAGAAAAGTATAAAAAATTTATTATTTAAGTGGATCAGTTGCCATAATCAGCGATTTTGGGTGTCCCAAGCTCACGGCAGTCAGTGGGACGTAGCGTTATACTATTTCTGAAACTGATGGGATTTATATACAATTACTGGAGTACTGATCTTGCAGGTTTTGATTTATTAATAAGTAAATTTGTGAGAATATTTAATTTTGTGTGTTAAACGCACTTTTTGTTTAATATGCAATTTTCTTTATCGAAATGACACTGATTCTGATAAACATTTCCCTGTTGATCGCATATAGGTGTCCAAGTAATTCCACAATGCTCGTCAAGCTGGCAACAATCACCGAAAATTTGATAAAATGTCTCAAAAATCATTAAAAGTTTGTAAAAATTCGTCATGAGATATTTTCACGTTATTTACGCTCTTAAGTGCTGAAAAAGTAGTACTGCTCTGTTGAATACAAATTCTTCATTATTAATCTGTATGATTTTAAATTAGTACCATAATAATCAATCGTGATTGTTTTATATCCTGTTCTCTCAAGAAGACATTGTTTATAATGAAATTCGCATAAATCAAGATGCGTTTTGCCATCGGAATCACAAATTGGTCCACTCAAATTACAATAACTATCACGTGAAATTTTGCAGCATTCGTCTTTATATGCTAAGTATAACTTGCGACCACTGTTAATACGTTCATATTCGCATTGGGCTACTCTATAAGAAATATACAATTTACTTATGGTAAATAGATGACAAATAACCATTTAATTTTTCTGAAACATTAAAAAGTAACTATGGAAGGAAATGAATTCAATGCTACAGTGTAATCTAGAAATGATCCTATCATCTACGTCATTTTGTTAATAATTCAGTTAACTTCTTAAACATGCGAGCAATAAATAAATAACACCTGAATTTGCACCAATTTTTGTGACTTTGTCCAATATTATCGCAAAGTGGCGTATATTTTATTTGCAATTCACTATTGCAATCATCTATGCAGCATTCATTTTGGTAACGTATTGTTAAATTTTTTTTCAGATGCTTACGTGACAGACACGCTGCACGCTCAAATTTGCAAATATTGGCATGCGTATGCCCTTCACTATCGCAAACTGGAAAATCGACATCATCACATTCTTCTCTGTCAGCTGAACAACATTCACCTAAAATTGTTTATTTTATATTGCCTGAAAATATATGAACAACTATGAATATATAAATTATTCAAAATGGTGCATTTACGTTATATATTACTGTATTTGACTTTTGCAGTCTTAATTACTTTTAATACTGCAAAGGAATTAATCAGTTAATTAGAAATTAATTCAGAAATCAAGTATCGCACGTTAAAAAAATTAATAATACATTAGCAACACTGCATATTATATTTTGCTATCAGAAACGCTTTGTTATTATTAGTAATCTCACTTAACTCTTTTATTTTGTACGTTTTGTGTTAAAAACGTAAAAGTATGTAGTAAATACTTGAAATTATTAAAATTTTTCTGATAATAACTGCAAAATTAGTTTACTTTTTATTTGCAAGAATACAGTATTACTTGTATTTTTTGTAAAGCTGTTTGCATAGCTTTATTTAAAAAAGTTATAAAAGATACATATTATTCTGATGTCCAAAAATTTGCTAACAAAACTTATAATGTACCCAAATAATTGATTTGTAGAGTACTTTGTGGTTTTCTCTTTTCAAGATCGCAAACTGCATGGTTGAATTCGCATTTGTTGCGATAAGTTACTCCTAGAATATAATGTCCTAGAATATAAATGGATCTTACATATGCTTAGTTTATCCTCATATTATTTAAAACCAATATTTTTAA